TTAAAAAAAAAAAGGCTATGAAAAGATTTTGTGACTGTTATATTCCTAATAAGAAAAAAACATTTTAATTAAGTTCTGAATTTATATATAAAATAAAATAGCAGGCCAGGTGCAGTGACTCACACCTGTCATCCCAGCACTTTGGGAGGATGAGGTGAGTGGATTGCTTGAGGCCAGGAGTTTGAGACCAGCTTTGGCAACACAGTGAAACCCCATCTCTACCAAAAATACAAAAAATAGTCAGTCTCATAACCTGGTCTCAAAATAAATAAGATAACCTGGTCTCAAAATAAATAAGTAAATAAATAGAACTAAATGTAAAAATAAATTCAAAAAATAAATAGTAACTTAAATATTCAGCATGCCTGAGAAAGTTTTATTTAGAATACAAGACATGCAAATAAGAGAATGTGGTTCAACATATTTAAAATTAAATAAGAAGACCATATTAACTGGGAAAATAGTTTTTTACCCTTGTAAATTATTTCTCATTAGCAAATAAACTTAGAAATCATACTCTATTAGAGTGTTAATTATTAGTGATTACACATCAGAATATAAGAACAAATAAATTATTAGTGGGTATATATTTATTGGTTAGATACTTGAAATGTATTTTTAATAAAATACTTCAATGAACCGCTGCATTTTCTTACATTTATGTTATTTTAACCCTGAGCATGCTATTTCCACAGGTGATTATGTAGTCTTCCTTAAGATGTCCATTGTTTTACCATAATGCTAATCTTCAGAAGAAAACTGAGGCCCCAAAGTCAAGTGTTCAGATGACTGCAGGGTGACCGACAGTGTGACCACCACCTCCTCAAAGGTGAGCTAGAACCACCCTGTTAAGTTGGTCCCAGCTTTGTTGACCATCAGAAACTGTAGGATAAGAGAAGACTGTAGGTTTTAAAAAATTATTTTCCTTTAAGTTCTGGGATACATGTGCAGAACGTGCAGGTTTGTTACATAGGAATACATGTGCCATGGTGGTTTGCTGCACCAATCACCCTTAAGCCCCGCATGTATTAGGTATTTGTCCTAATCCTCTTCTTCCCCTTTCCCCTCACCCACTGACAGGCCCCTGTGTGTGATGTTCTCCTCCCTGTGTCCATGTGTTCTCATTGTTCAACTCCTACTCATGAGTGAGAACATGTGGTGTTTGATTTTCTGTTCATGTGTTAATTTGCTTAGAATGATGCTTTCCAGCTTCAACCATGTTCCTGCGAGGGACATGAGCTCATATTGTATTTTACAGCTTTATAGTATTCCATGGTGTATAGGTACCACAAATTCTTTACCCAGTCTATCATTGATGGGCATTTGGGTTGGTTCCAAGTCTTTGCTATTGTAAATAGTGCTGCAACAAACATCCGTGTGCATGTGTCTTTATAGTAGAATGATTTATAACCCTTTGGGTGTATATCCAGTAATGGAATTGCTGGGTCAAGTGCTGTTTCTGGTTCTAGATCCTTGAGGAATCGCCACACTGTCTTCCACAGTGGTTGAACTAATTTACACTCCCACCAACAGTGTAAAAGCGTTCCTGTTTCTCCACATCCTCGCCAGCATCTGTTGTTATAAGAAGATCATAATTTTAAGCCACTCAGTTTTGGGGTAATTTTTTATGCAGAAAGATATAACTAGTACAGCCTACGAGCCATCAATGCCACTTTTCAGAGACATCCAGATAACACACACACATTCAAAATTCGAGAAGTACGCTGATAGAATTGTACATTCTACCTAATATCTAAAAATGAAGCAATAGGGCCTGGGTACAGTGGCTCACACTTGTAATCCCAGGACTTTGGGAGGCCAAGGAGGGCAGATCACTTCAGGTCAGAAGTTCGTGATCAGCCTGGCCAACATGGTGAAACCCTGTCTCTACCAAAAATACAAAAACTAGCTAGGCATTGTGGCATACACCTCTAATCCCAGCTACCCGAGAAGCTGAGGCAGGAGGATTGCTTGAACCCAGGAGGTGGATGTCGCAGTGAACGGAGATCGTGCCACTGCTGGGTGACAGAGCGAGACTCTGTCTCAAAAAATAAATAAATAAATAGAACAACATTGAAAGTCTAAAATGAGGAAACTATTAAAGTCTAGTACATTCATATTCTTTAAAATTAGAAAATATCCCCAGAAAGTACTTGTGATTAAGAAAATCAATTGGTGGGGTTTATGTAAAATATGAGTACAGAATTAACAGTGCACTGTGACTACATGTACCATCCTATACCTTAAATACATATTAAATGGTCTGGAAAGATACAACTCGAACTAATGAAGGGATATGTTGATACAAAACTAGTATGAAACAAGGAATAATCAATGAGAACATATTACCATCCACAGTATTTACTTATTGTACAAAATTGTTCCCAGTATGAGTTATTAAGCAGAGTGAAAATTTAAAATTTTTCAAGTTTAGGAACACATTTCCTTAAACTTTTAACCCTGGCCATCTCAATTATTTACCAGAATGGAGGGGTCAGGAAAGGAAAACTTTCATTTTCTACTTCTGAATTTTATTTTCTTCACCCCCAAAATTGCAGCATTAGAACATTAAAATACACATCCAGAAATAAATTCCATTTCACCATGAAAAAAAAGTGACATAATCTTGGGGCATGTGCATTTTGAAGCTCTCAGCAGAAAATCAAAGGACAAATGTCTTTCCCATATTCCTACACTGGGAGCCATGATGTCCTCAAACTTCCCTCCTGACAGCCTTACATGTGGCTATGTCCCCATCCAGGGGAATGAGACTCTCCAACCTACAGTTTATATATTCCACCACCAAGAACTGTGCCCATACACTTTAAAAACATTTCTTAAGGCCGGGCGCAGTGGCTCACGCCTGTAATCCCAGAACTTTGGGAGGCCGAGGCGGGTGGATCATGAGGTCGGGAGTTTGAGACCAGCCTGACCAATATGGTGAAACCCCGTCTCTACTAAAAATACAAAGTTAGCTGGGTGTGGGGGCACATGCCTGTAATCCTAGCTACTCAGGATGCTAAGGCAAGGGAATCCCTTGAATCCAGGAGGGAAAGGTTGCGGTGAGTCGAGATGATGCCACTGCACTCCAGCCTGGCAACAGAGCGGGCCTCTGTCTCAAAAAAAAACACCACAAAACAACAACAACAAAAAATTAGCTGGCCGTGGTGGCGCGCACCTATAATCCCAATTATTTGGGAGGCTGAGGCAGGAGAATCGCTTGAACCCAATAGGTGGAGGTTGCAGTAGGTGGAGGCTGCAGTGACCAAGATCGCACCACTGCACTACAGCCTGGCGACAGAGTGAGACTCCAACTCAAAAAAAAAAAAAAAAAAAAAAAAAAAAAAAAAAAAAAAATTAAATACATATATGTATTTTATATGTAAAATAAACAGAATTTTTATATGTGTATGTTTATATGTAAATAACATCTATATGTATTTTTATGCTAAAATGCACTCTCATTTTTTCACCCTTCACCTATTATCAGATGTAATTCCCAGTTACGAAAACAGAGACTCAAAGAAGCAGTGGATAGGCCTTGGTTTACTCGGATACCACCATATGGGCTCCTCTTCTCTTGAGGAGCCTCCAGTCAGCGAGTTTCCTCTCCGGGCCCAGGAGAAATCAATTCAGTTGTCCAGGAGCACTGCCAAACACATATTATGTTAAAAATACTCTTCCGAATAACTGAGAATAAAGACTTTACAAACTAAAGGCCAGGAGCAGTGGCTCACGCCTATAACCCCAGCACTTCGTGAGGCCCAGGTGGGCGGATCACATGAGCTCAGGAGTCCCAGATCAGCCTGGCTAACACGATGAAACCCCGTCTCTACTAAAAATGCAAAAATTAGCCAGGCATGGTGGCATACGCCTGCAGTCCCAGATACTCGGGAGGCTGAGGCAGGAAAATCGCTTGACCCAGGAGGCGCAGGTTGTCGTGAGCCGAGATCGCGCCATCACAATCCAGCCTGGGAAACAGAGAGAGACTCCATCTCAAAATAATAACAAAAATAATAATAACTACATTATATTAGTAATTAATAACTTAGGCAAAACACGATACCAACTCCAATAAATCCAGTACTTGGATTTGTAATTTATCTCAAGAAGCGTGCATTAGAATAATAAACTAAAGAAAGGAAAATAAATTTATATCGATACAAGCAGAAATTTTTGTTCTTTTAAAGCCAAGCCTCAGCCTTCCACCCCCATAGCCCAGGGTCTGACCCCATAAATTCTCTGGAACTCAGCCCACGATGCATCTTTGCCTCCTGGGTGACTGGGGAACAGAAACAAAAATTATGTTCCAGTGAAAGTCAATATAAAATTTTACAGTCCGCAGAGGCACAAAAATGCATCTCATTCTAGTTTCCATCACCTACGCAGACAACTCCAGCTTTCGCTTAATTAAATAAAAATTCTAATCGTCCAGATCTCAGAAGTTCCTGGATCCAAGCGCCCACCTGTACCGTCGCCCTCTCCCATCCACCAGGTCCCAGCGCTCCTCCCGCCTCATCGCAGGACGCGCCTCCATCGCTCGCAAAAACGTTTTCAAGCAAACCTTTTCCAACTTAAGCTCCGATTCCAATATAAGGGACCTACGGGTCTCTAATTTTTTGCTTAGCTAGGCTTCAAAGGACACCAAAGAGATTCAAGGGAATCCAAAAGTGAAGAATCGAGTACTGCTGGACGACAAACCGACCCAAAAAATTAGCTGGGACGCGCAGAGGGGAGGTCCTGTAGTCCAACTCCTAGGCCCCGCCCCCTCCCCGCCCCGCCATTGTCACCGCCCACCGCCATTATCCCCGCCCATCCCGTCTTTGTCCCCGCCCATCCCCGCCATTTGCCCGCCCATCCCCACATTGGTCCGCGCCCTGCCCCTGCCCTTGCCCCTTGCGCCTCCCCAGTGCACTCGCGTACGCGCAGGTTCCTGCCGACCCGGAAGCGGATCTCGCGGGGCTTCTGGCACTCTCGGGTGAGTCAGTCTTCGTCTTTCGGGTTCAAGCCTGCGCCTCGCAGGCCCCAGGTTCCCACGCTCCACTGTCGGGTTTTGGGGTCGCCCTATAGGTTAAAACCCCGAACCTGCTCATTCCTCTCGCAGCGTGGCCCCTAGACGTTTCCAGTCTCGTAGTTCCGAGAGGGTGTGGAGGTCTGCGTCCATTTCGGGTTAAAATCGCTCTGAAGTGGGTACTGGCCCCCTACTTTTTTGCCTTCGGTCAGTGTGGCCACCGACCGCCCACCGCGTCGTTTCTCTGCTTAAAACTCTTCTCTGACTCCCTCTTCGCTCCCCCTGGTAAAGCCCTCATTCGGGGCGGATACACACCCTTCGCCCTCGTCCAGGGAGAACAGAGGGGAAGCAGAAAGGGAGGAGAAAGAGGGAGAAATGCGCGAAATTAGAGAGCAATCAGAAAGAATAGCCGGGACTGAAAAAAAGGATGCTAAACACTGTCAGATGTGGCCAAACACTGTCAGAGAAGGAGGGGAAGGGAAGCAAAATGAGTAGAAATGGACAGGGAAACGCCGAAATGGGAGAAAGAAAAGGAAAGAAACAGAAGGTGGGAGAGAGAGATTCACAGGGACCCAAATCCAAGTGAGTTTGGAGTTGATTTAATATGGAACATTAAGTTGTGAAGTACTGATGCATGGCTCTGTAATTAATTTTAAATTTGTTTCACTGTTTATGCAGAAGAGAATGAACATTGCAAAACTAGGGTGTGAGGTTTCTGCGTTTTCTAATTATTACATCTGAAGTAACCCTTATTCAGCCAGAGGGTTAACTGACTTAGCTCAGTTGATTCCAGCTTACCCTCTTCCCTTTCTCTGATCTTGAGGAGAGTCAAGAAATGGGAAGAAACTGTGACACCATATGCTGCTTTACAGACAGTAACAATATTATTCCCTCCTTTTTTGTGTGTGGCTTGTGTCATTTTCTAAATTTGATGTATATACAATTTGTCTTAAATGTAATTCCAGAGTTTATTGGATTTTTAAAAAAATTTTCAGATTATTTTCTCTTAAATGTATTGTTCAGCTTATGAGTTTTAAATGCTTTTTCTTTTTCTTTTTTTTGAGATGGAGTGTCACTTTGTTGCCCAGGCGGGAGTGCAGTGGCTCGATCTCGGCTCACTGCAACCTCCGCCTACAGGGTTCAAGCGATTCTCCTGCCTCAGCCTCCCGAGTGGCTGGGATTACAGGCACGCGCCACCATGCCTGGCGAATTTTTTGTATTTTTAGTAGAGACGGGATTGTCACCTTGTTAGCCAGGCTGGTCTCGAACTCCTGACCTCAGGTCATCTGTCTCCTCCTCCTAAAGCACTGGGGTTAGAGGCGTGAGCCATCACGCCTGGCCTAAATGCTTTCTACTTTTTATCATATATTGGAACTGTTCTTTTATGTCTGGTACCTGATTTCACAGTGTTTCACTCTAAGGGTGTTGATAATCTTTTAGCCCTTAAAATCTGATTTAACCAGTTAGTTTAATACAGTTGACCTTGAACAACACCAGTTTGAGCTATGCAGGTCCAACTATACAGGGGATTTTCTTCTACCCCTGTCACTCCTGAGACAGCAAAATGAACCCCTTCTCTTCTCCACTGCAGCCCACACAATATGACCTCAGGGAGGATGCTAGGAAGATGAAGAACTGTGATGATCCACTTCCTTTTAGTGAATGGTAAATATATTTTCCCTTCTTTATGATTTTCTTATTAACAGTATCATTTCTCTAGCTTACTTTATTGTAAGAATACAGTATATAATACATGTAACATACAAAATATGTGTTTATCAACGGTTTATGTTTTCAGTAAGACTTCTGGTCAACAATGGGCTATCAGTAGTTAAGTTTTTGGGGAATCAAAGGTTGTACCTGGATTTTTGACTGGGAGCTGGGGGCGGTTAGTGCCCCTATCACTGGTGTTGGTCAAGGCTCAGCTCTATTCAGTTTCTTTACTCCCTTATGTCGTCTAAAAGCCTCCCACTAAGTAGATGTTTCCCCAGGTCCCCTTTGTCCTTTCTCTGCAAGATGTTGAAGAATGGCCTGTATTGGTGTGGAATTTTGTTCCAACAGAGCCCATCTGTTCATAATGAAGAGATAACTCAGCACTAATCTCCACAGCTGACCCCTTTTCATGCTTTCCAAGAGTAATAGCTATTTGTAATTTCATATTTTTGAATATTTTTCTGGAAAAGAGGAATTAAATCCTTGGGATTGATTAAACCCATGAAATAGAAGCTTCAACTCAGGAATGTGAATGGTAATCTGGAAATAAGGATAAACCTTTCCTAATCCCCTATCCAGGCCACCATTTCAGAATTCATTTACAACTGAGTTCTGCTCACTCAACTCAGACCTTTTCCAGGTAACTTGGTGAAATGTCTCCTCTCTCTGAGGCTCAGTGTGCCCACCGGTACCAGAAATTCTGAATCTGAGCCGATGGAACCCCGGAAATGATGTTCAGGATTGAGCATGTGTCTGCATGTGGCAATTTTTTGAGAGAGGGTGCCCAGTTACAGTTAGTCTTAAATGACTCTCAGACCTCCAAAAATGACGGAAATTACTAGGAAAGGGTCGGGGGCGTAGGCTTAGAGATAGAGCTGCTTCTCTCAGCTTTTTATTCTTTCTCACTATCTCTGCATCAGGAGTAAGTCTTAAGTTTTATTATGTCATCTCCTGGCATTAAATCCTTTTATGCTTTCCCTCTGCCTGTGGGACAAATATCTAAACTACGTAGTATGGCTACAGCAGGGATTTCTGGAGCTATGGCGGCTCTTCACCTGTTCCAATTTTAGGCTTTTATTATCCTGCATTGACTGACAGTCATTGGATGCTGGCTACCCAGGGAGAGGCTGTGAACTTGGACACAGCAGTTTTTCTTGACTGAGCGTCAGGTGGACAGAGGACAATGCAATTGATGCAGAATGTTGGGTTTCAGCAAGAAGGGAGAACTTTTTGAAGACATAGGTGGAATAACTCACTTCGTAGTCTCTGTTTAGTTTATTTTTTTCATGAGTTTATTTTCACTCTTGTTGCAGTTGGAAGCTAAGGACCATCTTATTTCTATATCAAGCCTCTTCCTGTGTGTGTGTGTGGTAAAGGAAGGGCCTGTATTGATTTTAAGCATTAAACAACATATTTTTGACATACAGACTGATCTTACCTGAGAAAGAAACTCAGAGGAAGAGGAAAGAAAGAAGAGGAGGGAATGGCTCTTTCTCAGGTAAAAGTTATATTCTTGGTTGATTGTTTTGTCCTCTCCTTCCTGAAATGCCATATTTTGGACTTGCTAATTTTATCTGACTCTGAAGTGTCCTGACTAACATGTATATTCACACCCAGGGCTTTCCCTCAATTCCATCTCCACCTAGATTCCGTCTCACTGTGACCCAGTAACATGGAACTTTGGAAAAGGCTCCATTTAGGTGATTGTTCTGGGAAGGATTTTATGCCTAGTCATGGATTGGATATGGGGGGCAGGCTCCATGGTGTCAGTGAGGTTGGGTGGTAGTGACTGGAGACTTCATTTGGATGCCCTTTCAGCTCTTTATAAACCAGGATTAAAGAAGCTGCATATGTAAGTGATACATTAATGTGCACAAATACCTGGAAAACGTTGGAAAAGAAGACTGATGGGGGAAACTTGCTTAGCTTGAGTTTATAATACATTTGTAGCTAAACAATTGAGTCTGTGTTTCTGGCTGTAAAATATTAATTTGGAATAGAATGGGAAGTTCAGAAGTAGACATTGGGGATGGAGAAGGTAGTCTTTTTTCATAATTTGTTTTAAAATATTAAATCAACATAATTGTCTTAACAGCAGGAGGTTCTTTAAATTCTTCACAGTGCATCCATCTCATGAAGACTCTACTGTTCATTTAGGAATTCTCATGCAGTGGGTGTTTAGATAAAAATGTCTATAATTTATTATTTTTCTTAATTTAACTTTTAAGTCCAGGGGTAGGTTTGTTACATAGCTAAACTTGTGTCATGGGGGTTTGTTGTACAGATTATTTCATCATCCAGATATTAAACCTAGTACCCATTAGTTACTTTTCCTGATCCTCTCCCTCCCGCCACCCTCCACCCGTGATAGACCTCAGTGTGTGTTGTTTCCGTCTATGTGTCCATGTGTTCTCATCATTTAGCTCCCTCTTGTGAGAACATGCACCATTTGGTTTTCTGTTCCTATGTTAGTTTGCTAAAGATAATGGGCTCCAGCTCTATCCATGTTCCTGCAGAGGACATCATCTCTTTTTTTTTTTTATGGCTACATAGTATACACCACGGGGTGTATGTGTGTGTGTACCACATTTTCTTTATTCAGTCCACCATTGGCGGGCATTTAGGTTGATTCCATGTCTTCACTATTGTGAATAGTGCTACAGTGAACATGTGCACGTAAGTGTATGTTCGTGCACGCATGATGGGATTGCTGGGTCGAATGGTAGTTCTGTTTTTAGATCTTTGAGGAATCACCACACCGTCTTCCAGGATGGTTGAGCTAATTTATACGCCCACCAACAGTGTGTAAGTGTTCCTTTTTCTGCACAACCTCACCAGCATCTGTTATTTTTTTGACTCTTTAGTAATAACCAAAAGGGGCCAGGTGCAGTGGCTCACACCTGTAATCCCAGCACTTTGGGAGGCTGAGGCAGGTGGATCACCTGAGGTCAGGAGTTCAAGACCAGCCTGACCAACATGGTGAAACCCTGTCTCTACTAAAAATACAGAATTAGCTGGGCATAGTGGCACATGCCTGTCATCCCAGCTACTCGAGAGGCTGTGGCTGGAGAATCACTTGAACCCGGGAGGTGGCGGTTGCAGTGAGCCAAGATCGTGCCATTGCACTTTAGCCTAGGCAACAAGAGCAAAACTCCGTTTCAAAAAGATAATAATAATAATTAAAAAATAATAGCCAGCTGGGCACGGTAGCTCACGCCTGTAATCCCAGCACTTTCGGAGGCCAAGGCAAGTGGATCACGAGGTCAGGAGATCAAGACCATCCTAGCTAACATGGTGAAACCCCATCTCTACTAAAAATACAAAAAAATTAGTGGGGCATGGTGGCAGGCGCCTGTAGTCCCAGCTACTCGGGAGGCTGAAGCAGGAGAATGGCGTGAACCAGGGAGGCAGAAGTTGCAGTGAGCCGAGATTGTGCCACTGCACTCCAGCCTGGGTGACAGAGTGAGACTCCATCTCAAAATAATAATAATAATAATAATAATAATAGCCAAAAGATGGCTATAATGTAGCTAAGACCTATGAGCAGAACTTCCTGTCATCAGAGAGGCAGGAGCCAAATTCTGATTATACTACTTGTTAAATACTACATTTCTTTTGTAGGAAGCATCACATGATATATATATATTTTATGATAAAATGTCACACAGTGATGCTTAGGGACTAAGGAGTTCCAGTCCACCATCACTTACTGTCTCCATCAGGAACTACTGTTCATTCTCTTCAATGGAAGAAAAATCATAAAAATCATAACTTAATTTTAGAAAATGTTTAGTGAATATTTTGTTGTGATATTCTGTTTTGCAAATTTGTATATTTGTATACTGTATGTCTTCATTTCGTTTTTAGGCTGGTAAACAGAGATAACTTGAGTTTTTGCTTTCTCATTGGAGCATTCTCTTACTGAAGACACATACAGTTTTTCTCTGTTATAAAGAATCCGCATTGGCTGCTTGGGAGCAGGCCAACTGTACTACAGCTGTGTGAGGATTCCTCCAGGTTGGGCAATTTGAAGCATGATTACTGGCTTAATAATGATGTTTCTGAGGAAGTTCAGACACTGCACTTACTAAAAACTACTTTAAATCAACTATCTTAACCATGCTCAGACAGCTGAAGTAAATGGTGGACAAAGAACTAAAGGAAAGTAGGACAACAGTGTTTCAATGAGTATCAGTAAAGACATAGAAATTATTAAAAAGAAGTGAAATAGAAGTTTTGCAGCTGAAAAGTATAATATGAAAATTTCAGCTATAAAGTTTCAAGAGTAGATTGACAGAATACAGAATTAGCTAACTTAAACTTTAGGTTAATTGAAATTATTTAATCTGAGCAGAAGAAAGTGAAGAAAAATAAAATGTAAGAAAGCTTTGGGACACCATGAAGCATAGGCATGTATGCTTAATAAAAATTTTTGAAGAAAAAGAGAAAGCAAAAGGCAGAAAGAATATTTGAAGAAATAAGAACTGAAACCTCCAAAATATATAAAGAGCATGAATCTGTATACCTAGGAAACTCAGTGAACTTTAATTGTGATAAACTTATAGAGATCCAGAGCAATACACATAATCGAACTGTGGAAGGAAAAAGAATCATGGTAGTAGCAACACAGAAATGATTTGTCGTGTACAGTGATCCTCAAAAAGATTAACAGCCAGATTCTCATCAGAAACTGTGGAGGCTAGAAATTAGTGGAATGACATATTCAAAGTTTGAAAGGAAGAACTATCCAGCAGGAATTCAATATCAGGCAAATTATCCTTCAGAATTGACAGTGAAATTGAGATCCCCAGATAAACAAGAGCTGAGGGAGTTTGCATTAGTGGACTTACCTGCATGAAATCTTAAAGTCTTTTAGGTTGAAATAAAAGGACACCAGCAGTACCTTAATGCCGTAAGAACAAATTAATACAGGTAAAATACCTACATAGGTATAAATATAAAAGCCAATATTACTGGTTTTTTAAAAACTTTTTAAATATGATTTAAAAGGCATGTATAAAACAATAATTGTAAATCTGTTACTGGCTATAAAATGCATAGAGAAGTGATTTTTGACGGTATGAAAAGAACCAGCCAGAGCTATATAGAAACAGAAGTTGTTATGCAATTGAAGCTAACTTAGCATCAATTGGAACTTAATTATTACCAGCTTCTGATGTAAATTTTAATCCCCAGGGCAACCATTAAGAAAATAGCAAAAATGTAAAGAAGGGAACCGAAATGATACACACACACAAACTTATACACACAAAGAAGGAAGTAAGGGAATAATTACAAAACAAAAAAGATAGGCATATAAAAAATAAGTAGCAAAATGGTAAAAGTAGTTCTTTTATCACTAGTTACTTTTATCTGACTCTGAAGTGGATTAAATTCTCCATTAAAAGGCACTTACTGGAGGAATAATTTTTTAAAACTATGATTTCACTATATGATGTTTATAAAAGACTTCCTTTAGAGCTAAAGACACAAATAGGCTGGAAAGTATAATAAAAGGATGTGAAAAGGTATTTCATGCAAATATTAAACCTAGCTGGATAGCTATACAGATAGCAGACCAAATAAACTTTAAGTCAAAAATTGATAGGCAGGGCGCGGTGGCTCAAGCCTGTAATCCAAGCACTTTGGGAGGCCGAGGTGGGCGGATCACGAGGTCAGGAGATCAAGACCATCCTGGCTAACCCGGTGCAACCCTATCTCTACTAAAAAACACAAAAAACTAGCCGGTCGAGGTGGCAGGCGCCTGTAGTCCCAGCTGCTCGGGAGGCTGAGGCAGGAGAATGGCGTGAACCCGGGAGGCAGAGCTTGCAGTGAGCTGAGATCGGCCACTGCACTCCAGCCTGGGCGACAGAGCAAGACTCTGTCTCAAAAAAAAAAAAAAAAAAAAAAAAAATTGATATCAGAGATGTTGAAGGACAGTAAATATTGGGGTTAATCCATCAAGAACATGTAACCGCTATAAAAAATACGGATCAAATATCAAAGCCCCAAATATTTTGGAGCAAAAATTACAAGGAGATACAGTCCTACTATAATAGTTAAAGAATTCAATGCTCTCTTTTTAATAATGGATAGAACAACCATACAGAAGATCAGTAAGGAAATAAAGGGCTTGAACAACACTTTAAACCAAGATTATCTAACCCATGGAACATGGACTGCATGTGGCTCAGGATGGCTTTGAATGTGACACAACACAAATTTGTAAACTTTATTAAAACATGAGATTTTTTTGTATGTGTTTTCTTTTTTTTTTAAAGCTCATCAGCTGTCATTATTGTCAGTGTATTTTATGTGTGGCCCAAGACAATTCTTCTTCCAGTGTGGCCCAGGGAAGCCAAAAGATTGGACACCACTGCTGTAAACTACACCGAACAAGCATGGAAAGAAAACTGCACTCAGTAAAAACAGAATCTGTACTCTTCTCAAATGTACATAGAATATTCTCCAGGATAGACCACATGTCAGGCCACAGAACAAGTCTCCGTACAAAGCTAGAACTCATAAAACTGTGTTCTCACACCACAATCGAGTGAAATTGGAAATCAATAAAAGGAAAACTGAAAAATTCAGTTTTAAATGAATTTTAGCTTCCTTATTGAGGTATGATTGATATAAAAAAACTATACATATGTAATGTATACAATTTAATGAGTTTAGAGATAAGTATACACCTCTGACACCACCACTGCAATCTGTCATAAACATATCCAATGCCTCAAAAAGTTTTTTTCTGCCGTCTTTATTATTTCATATTTTTATAATACAACCTAAGAACTACTGTCTTAACAAATTTTTAAGTATACAATACAGAATTAACTATAAGCACTATGTTGTTCAGTAGATCTCTAGGACTTTTTCATCTTGCATAACTGATATGAATTACTACCTCACCATTTCCCCACTCTGCACCTAGCAACCACCATTCTATTCTCTGTTTCTATGAGTTTTATTGTTTTCAGTTCCTCATGTAAGTGGAATCATGTATTTGTTCTCCATGTGGCCTATTTCATTTATATAATATACTCCAGTTTCATTCAGGTAGTCTATAGCAAATAGCAGAATTTCCTTCTATTTTAAGGCTGAGTAATATTCGTGTGTGTGTGTGTGCGCCACATTTTCTTTATCCAGTCATTCCTTGATGGACATTTAGACATGACTTGGCTATTAAGAATAAAGCTGCAATAAATATGGAAGTCCCTATCTCTCTTCAAGATCATGATTTTAATTCTTTTGGATATATATCCAGTAGTGGAATTACTAGATTATGGTCGTTTTACTTTTACTTTTATTTTTATTTTTATTTTTTCCTGAGATGGAGTCTTCCTCTGTTGCCCAGGCTGGAATGCAGTGGCATGACCTCAGCTCACTGCAACCTCTGCCTCCTGGTTTCAAGCAATTTTCCTGCCTCAGCCTCCTGAGTAGCTGGGAGTACAGGCGCCCACCACCACACCCAGCTAAATTTTATGTTTTTAGTAGAGATGGGGTTTCACCATGTTGGCCAGGCTGGTCTTGAACTTCTGATCTCGTGATCCGCCCACCTCGGCCTCCCAAAATGCTGGGATTACAGGTGTGAGCTGGTGGCCTATTTTTAGTTTTTGAGGAACATCCATACTGTTTCCATAGTGGCTGCACTAATTCATATTCTGACCAACATTGTACAACAGTTCCCTTTTCTCCACATCCTGGACATTGCTTGTCGATTTTTTTTTTCTTTAATGGTCATCCTGATATATGTGAGATCATATTATGTTGTTGATTTGCATTTTCCTGGTGATTAGTGATATTGAGCACCTTTTCATGTACCTAATGGCCATTTTTATGTTCTCTTTGGAAAAAATGTCTGTTCAGCTCTTTTGCCCATTTTTTATTGGGTAATTAGTTTTTTTGGCTCTTGAATTGTAGGAGTTCCTTACATTTTTTGGATATTAACCCCTTCTCAGATACATAGTTTGCAAATATTTTCCCATTCCATAAGTTGCCTTTTCGTTTTGTTGGTTGTTTCTTTTGGTGTGCACAAGTGTTTTGGTTTGATGTAGTCCCACTGGTCTATTTTTGCTTTTCTTGCCTGCACTTTTGGTGTGATACCCAGGAAATCGTTGGCAAGATAATGTCAAGAACATTTTCCCCTATGTTTTCTTCTAGGAGTTTTACAATTTCAGGTAAAACTGAGTAAATTTACCTTGAGTCTTTAGTCAATTTTGAGTTTATTTTTATTTATGGCATAAGATAAGCATCCAGTTTCATTCTTTTGCATTTGGATGTACAGATTTCCTAGCACTATTTACTGAAGAGAGCGTCTTTTCTCCATTATGTATTCTTGACACACTTGTCAAAGATCAGTTGATTGTATATGTGTGAGTTTATTGCTGGGCTTTGTATTCTAGTCCTTTTGTTTTGTGTCTATTTCATGCCAGTACCATACTGTTTTGATTACCATACCTTTGTAATACACTTTGAAATCAGGAAGTGTGATACTGCCAGCTTTGATATTCTCGCTCAAAATTGCTTTGGCTCTTTTGGGTCTTTATAGTTCTATATGATTTTTTTTTTTTTTTTTTGAGATGGAGTCTCGCTGTGTGGCCCAGGCTAGAGTGCAGTGGCGCGATCTTGGCTCACTGCAAGCTCCGCCTCCCAGGTTCATGCCATTCTCCTGCCTCAGCCTCCCGAGTAGCTGGGACTACAGGCGCCCACCACCACGCCTGGCTAATTTTTTGTATTTTTAATAGAGACGGGGTTTCACCGTGTTTTGCCAGGATGGTCTCGATCTCCTGACCTCGTGATCTGCCCGCCTTGGCCTCCCAAAGTGCTTGGATTACAGGCGTGAGCCACCGCACCTGGCCATAGTTCTATATGAATTTTAGGATTATTTCTTATATTTTTGTAAAAAGTGCCGCTGTGATTTTGATAGAGATTGCATTGACTCTGTAGATTGCTTTGAATAATACGGACATTTTCATAGTATTAATTTCCTAAGTTCTTGAACATAGAATATCTTTCCATTTATTTGTTTTGTCTGCTTTAATTTCCTTCATTAGTATTTTATAGTTTGCAGCATGCAAGTCATTTACCTGTTTGGTTAAGCTTATCTTATGTTAAAGTCACATGGGGAGTGACTGCTTAATGGGTACGGCATTTCTTTTGGAGATGATAAAAATGTTTTTGAACTAGACAGAGGTGGTGGTGTATAACTTTGTGAATGTACTAAATGCCACTGAATTATACTTTAAAATGGCTAATTTATTTGTTTTATTTTGAGGTGAAGTCTTGCTCTGTCACCCAGACTGGGGTGCAGTGGCATGATCACTGCTTACTGTAGTCTCCACCTCCCAGGCACAGGTGATCCTCCCACCTCAGCCTCCTGAGTAATGGGGACCACAGGCCCATGCCACTGTGCCCAGCTAATTTTTAAAAAATTTTTGGTAGAGATGGAGTCTCACTTTGTTGCCCAGACTGGTCTCAAACTCCTGAGCTCAAGAGGTCCTCCTGCCTCAGCCTCTCAAAGTGCTGAAATTACAGGTGTGAGCCACTGCACCCAGCCTAAAATAGCTAATTTTATGTTACGTGAATTTCATCTCAGTTTAAAAAAATAAAATCAGGGATATATAAGTTGCTTACATTAACTCACATAAATCAGTCACATCACTCTGGCCAAGTGAATATTTACACGTCTTTTCTGTCATTTTGTGTGAAAATAAGAAATTCTCCTGTGTCCACTTGGTGAAGTGTGTTTTTATTTCAGGGACTGTTTACATTCAAGGATGTGGCCATAGAATTCTCTCAAGAGGAGTGGGAGTGCCTGGACCCTGCCCAGAGGGCCTTGTACAGGGATGTGATGTTGGAGAACTACAGGAACCTGCTCTCTCTGGATGAGGATAACGTCCTTCCAGAATACGGTAACCACCCTTGTACATCTTTACATTTCTCCTTGTGAGTCTCTTGGGAGCCCCCAATATGCTTGTCTGAATCCGATCCCTGTTCTGAAAGGGGAGATTGAAACTTTTTGATTCAGAGTGGAAATGCTTCATAATGTGACATATAGACTTTAAACTTCCCCTTTCGTCAGAAGTTCTGCACATAACCAGGTTTGACGAGTGGTGGTTCCAGAACATCAGTACTTACAAAACCTTATGGAAAACACTTTAGAGTATCTGGTATCACGGGTTTATCCCCGTGCCTTTGAGTCAGTAGTTTTTTCAGAGTCTGCATATTTAAAATAATCCCTAAGCATTCAGAAGAAGGCAGTTAGTTGACTGATTTATTAAATCGTTTTGGGAAATAGTTTTCCAGACCCATCTGTAATATCCTCTCTTCATAGCTGAACAAAGGGCTGGGAATGTATCCAGGAAAAGCACAACACACCATGTTCCTTTTTTCTTTATAAGTTGAAATCTTTCCTGAGCTGAATATTATCTTCATTTTTGGAGCATAGGAAAGAGTCCTAGACTATGGAGAGTGAAGTGAAAATAGTGGAAAAATCAGGTAGGTTGGAATGTGAGCACAAATAAGCACTCGGATGGCCACAGAGTAAGCTACTCCATTGAATATTGTTTGGGAAACTCTGCAAATGGGAAAGATCAGTGGGAATACAAAAGTTTATTTCTTATGAGCTCTCAAATTAAAGTCCACACCCCCTCCCACTGTCCCCCAACACAGTTATTCAAATGTGTAAAATGTTGAACTCCCACTCTCCCATGATGCCCCAACTCATGCAGACACAAAAGCAAAGGTACTATCATGACCTGCAATACTCTGTTTGGCCCCTCTGATCATTTTGGTGTTTTGGTTTTGAGAGGGACCGAGATGGCTATTTTTAAGGACTGTCTTTTTGTGTATGTAATTTCATCTGATATGTGGTTTTCAGTCTGTGCAGATCAGAGCTGGGGCCTTTGTAGCCCTGGCTCCAGAACCTATTCAGTTTCTATTCCCATTTCTTATACCTGCGAGAACTTTTCAGGAAAATGGGAAAACAATGGCTCCCCCCAGATGTATCTGGGGTTCCCTGAAATTTCAAAGACTGTCAGTCTCTCTACTTGTTCAAGCCCCTTGGCCATTCCTTCAGTTCTGCTTTTGCCACATGTGTGTGTCTAAAGGGGAGGCTTTTCAGATTGTTACTCAGCAGTAATATAAAGTGGACCTCAAGCAAACTCCAACAGACCTGCAGCTGAGGGTCCTGACTGTTAGAAGGAAAACTAACAAACAGAAAGGACACCCACACCAAAACCCCATCAATATGTCACCATCATCACAGACGAAAGGCAGATAAAACCATAAAGATGGGGAAAAAGCAGTGCAGAAAAGCTGGAAATTCAAAAAATCAGAGCGCATCTCCCCCTCCAAAGGAACGCAGCTCGTCGCCAGCAATGGAACAAAGTTGAACGGAGGGTGACTTTGACGAGTTGAGAGAAGAAGGCTTCAGTCGATCAAACTTCTCAGAGCTAAAGGAGGAACTACGTACCCGGCGCAAAGAAACTAAAAACCTTGAAAAAAGAATGGATGAATGGATAACTAGAGTAATCAATGCGGAGAAGACCATAAAAGAACTGATAAGAGATGAAAACCATGACACAAGAATTACATGACAAATGCACAAACTTCAGTAACCGACTCGATCAACTGGAAGAAAGAGTATCAGTGATTGAAGATCAAATGAATGAAATGAAGCAAGAAGAGAAGTGTAGAGAAAAAAGAGTAAAAAGAAATGAACAAAGCCTCCAAGAAATATGGGATAATGTGAAAAGACAAAATCTACATCTGATTAGTGTGCCTGAAAGTGAAGGGGGAAATGGAACCAAGTTGGAAAACACTCTGCAGGATATCATCCAGGAGAACTTCCCCAACCTAGTAAGGCAGGCCAACATTCAAATTCAGGAAATACAGAGAACGCCACAAAGATAATCCTCGAGAAGAGCAATTCCACGACACATAATTGTCAGATTCACCAAAGTTTAAATGAAGGAAAAAATGTTAAGGGCAGCCAGAGAGAAAGGTCAGGTTACCCACAAAGGAAAGCCCATCAGACTAACAGCAGATCTCTTGGCAGAAACCCTACAAGCCAGAGGAGAGTGGGGGCCAATATTCAACATTCTTAAAGAAAAAAAATTTCAACCCAGAGTTTCATATCCAGCCAAACTAAGCTTCATAAGTGAAGGAGAAATAAAATCCTTTACAGACAAGATAATGCTGAGATATTTTGTCACCTTATAAGATCTTCTGAAGGAAGCACTGAACATGGAAAGGAACAACCAGTACCAGTCACTGCAAAAACATACCAAATTGTAAAGACCATCAACACTATGAAGAAACTGAATCAACTAATGAGCAAAATAACCAGCTAATATCATAATGACAGGATCAAGTTCACACATAACAATATTAACCTTAAATGTAAATGGACTAAATGGTCCAATTAAAAGACACAGACTGGCAGATTGGATAAAGAGTCAAGACCCATCAGTTTGCTGTATTCAGGAGACCCATCTCACATGCAGAGATGCACATAGGCTCAAAATAAAGGGATGGAGGAATATCTCCCAAGCAAATGGAAAACAAAAAAAAGCAGGGGTTATAATCCTAGTCTCTGATAAAACAGACTTTAAACCATCAAAGATCAAAAGAGACAAAGAAGGCCATTACATAATGGTAAAGGGATCAATTCATCAGGAAGAACTAACTATCCTAAATATATATGCACCCAATACAGGAGCACCCACATTCATAAAGCAAGTCCTTAGAGACTTACAAAGAGACTTAGACGCTCATACAATAATAATGGGAGACTTTAACACCCCAATGTCAACATTAGACAGATCAACGAGACAGAAAGTTAACAAGGATATCCAGGAATTGAACTCAACTCTGCACCAAGCAGACCTAATAGACATCTACAGAACTCTCCACCCCAAATCAACAGAATATACATTCTTCTCAGCACCACATTACACTTATTCCAAAATTGACCACGTAGTTGGAAGTACAGCACTCCTCAGCAAATGTAAAAAAAGAAATTATAACAAACTGTCTCTCAGACCACAGTGCAATCAAACTAGAACTCAGGACTATGAAACTCAATCAAAACCGCTCAACTACATGGAAACTGAACAACCTGCTCCAACAGGTCCAACAACAACTGGGTACATAACGAAATGAAGGCAGAAATAAAGATGTTCTTTGAAACCAATGAGAACAAAGATAAAACATACCAGAATCCCTGGGACACAGTTAAAGCAGTGTGTAGAGGGAAATTTATAGCACTAAATGCCCACAAGAGAAAGCCAGAAAGATCTAAAATTGACACCCTAACATCACAATTAAAAGAACTAGAGAAGCAAGAGCAAACACATTCAAAAGCTAGCAGAAGGCAAGAAATAACTAAGATCAGAGCAGAACTGAAGGAGATAGAGACACAAAAAACCCTCCAAAAAATCGATGACTCCAGGAGTTTGTTTTTTGAAAAGATCAACAAAATTGATAGACCACTAGCAAGACTAATAAAGAAGAAAAGAGAGAAGAATCAAATAGTTGCAATAAAAAATGATAAAGAGGATATCACCAAGACCCCACAGAAATACAAACTACCATCAGAGAATACTATAAACACCTCTACGCAAATAAACTAGAAAACCTAGAAGAAATGGATAATTTCCTGGACACTTACACTCTCCCAAGACTAAACCAGGAAGAAGTTGAATCCCTGAATAGACCAATAGCAGGCTCTGAAATTGAGGCAATAATTAATAGCCTACCAACCAAAAAAAGTCCAGGTCCAGACGGATTCACAGCTGAATTCTACCAGAGGTACAAGGAGGAGCTGGTACCATTCCTTCTGAAACTACTCCAATCAATAGATAAAGAGGGAATCTTCCCTAACTCATTTTATGAGGCCAACATCATCCTGATACCAAAGCCTGGCAGAGACAAAACAAAAAAAGAGAATTTTAGACCAATATCCCTGATGAATATTGATGCAAAAATCCTCAATAGAATACTGGCAAACCGAATCAGCAGCACATCAAAAAGCTTATCCACCATGATCAAGTGGGCTTCATCCCTGGGATGCAAGGCTGGTTCAACATATGCAAATCAATAAATGTAATCCATCATATAAACAGAACCAAAGACAAAAACCATATGATTATCTCAACAGATGCAGAAAAGGCCTTTGACAAAATTCAACAGCCCTTCATGCTAAAAACTCTCAATAAATTCGGTATTGATGGAACATATCTCAAAATAATAAGAGCTGTTTATGACAAACCCGCAGCCAATATCACACTGAATGGGCAAGAACTGGAAGCATTCCCTTTGAAAACTGGCACAAGACAGGGATGCCCTCTCTCACCACTCCTATTCAACATAGTGTTGGAAGTTCTGGCTAGGGCGGGCAATCAGGCAAGAGAAAGAAATAAAGGGTATTCAGTTAGGAAAAGAAGAAGTTAAATTGTCCCTGTTTGCAGATGACATGATTGCATATTTAGAAAACCCCATTGTCTCAGCCCAAAATCTCCTTAAGCTGATAAGCAACTTCAGCAAAGTCTCAGGATACAAAATCAATGTGCAAAAATCACAAGCATTGTTATATATAAGTAACAGACAGAGAGCCAAATCATGAATTAATGAACTATTCACAATAGCTTCAAAGAGAATAGAATACCTAGGAATCCAACTTACAAGGGATGTAAAGGACCTCTTCAAGGAGAACTACAAACCACTGCTCAGTGAAATAAAAGAGGACACAAGCAAATGGAAGAACATACCATGCTTATGGATAGGAAGAATCAATATGAAAATGGCCATACTGCCCAAGGTAATTTATAGATTCAATGCCATCCCCATTAAGCTACCAATGACTTTCTTCACAGAATTGGAAAAAACTGCTTTAAAGTTCATATGGAACCAAAAAAGACTCCACATTGCCAAGACAATCCTAAGCCAAAAGAACAAAGCTGGAGGCATCACGCTACCTGATTTCAAACTATACTACAAGGCTATAGTAACCAAAACAGCATGGTACTGGTACCAAAACAGAGATATAGACCAGTGGAACAGAACAGAGCCCTCAGAAACAATACCACACATCTACAACCATCTGATCTTTGACAAAAACAAGAAACGGGGAAAAGAGTCCCTATTTAATAAATGGTTCTGGGAAAAATGGCTAACCATAAGTAGAAAGCTGAAACTGGATCCTTTCCTTACTCCTTATACGAAAATTAAGTCAAGATGGATTAGAGACTTAAATGTTAGACCTAAAACCATAAAAACCCTAGAAGAAAACCTAGGTAATACCATTCAGGACATAGGCATGGGCAAGGACTTCATGTCTAAAACACCAAAAGCAATGGCAACAAAAGCCAAAATTGACAAATGGGATCTAATGAAACTAAAGAGCTTCTGCACAGCAAAAGAAACTACGATCAGAGTGAACAGGCAACCAAAAGAATGGGAGAAAATTTTTGCAATCTACTCATCTGACAAAGGGCTAATATCCAGAACCTACAAAGAACTCAAATTTACAAGAAAAAAACAGCCCCATCAAAAAGTGGGCAAAGGATATGAACAGACAATTCTCAGAAGAAGACATTTATGCAGCCAACAGACACATGAAAAAATGCTCATCATCACTCACCATCAGAGAAATGCAAATCAAAACCACAATGAGATACCATCTCACACCAGTTAGAATGGCAATCATAAAAAAAATCAGGAAACAACAGGTGCTGGAGAGGATGTGGAGAAATAAGAACACTTTTACACTGTTGGTGGGACTGTAAACTAGTTCAACCATTGTGGAAAACAGTGTGGCAATTCCTCAAGGATCTGGAACTAGAAATACCATTTGACCCAGCCATCCCATTAATGGGTATATACCCAAAGGATTATAAATCATGCTGCTGTAAAGACACATGCACACATATGTTTATTGCAGCACTATTCCCAATAGCAAAGACTTGGAATCAACCCAGATGTCCATCAGTGACAGACTGGATTAAGAAAATCTGGCACATATACACCATGGAATACTATGCAGCCATAAAAAAGGATGAGTTCGTGCCCTTTGTAAGGGCACAGATGCAGCTGGAAACCATCATTCTCAGCAAACTGTCGCAAGTTCTCACTCATAGGTGGGAATTGAACAATGAGATCACTTGGATACAGGAAGGGAAATATCATGCACCAGGGCCTATTGTGGGAAGGGGGGAGAGGGAAGGGATAGCATTAGGAGATATACCTAATGTAAATGATGAGTTAGTGGGTGCAGCACACCAACATGGCACATGTATACATATGTAACAAACCTGCACGTTGTGCACATGTACCCTAGTACTTAAAGTATTACAATAATAATAATAATTTAAAAAGAATCTGTGCTCTGTCTGTTCACCTCTCCCTCCCCCTGGCACCTGGCAACCACTGATCTCTTTACTATCTCCACAGATTTGCCTTTTCCAGAATGTCATATAGTTGGAACCATATGGTATATGGCCTTGTCAGGTTGGCTTCTTTCACTTAATAATGTGCATTTAAATTTCTTCCATGTCTTTTTATACCTTGACAGCTCATTTCTTTTTAGCACTGAATAACATCCCTTCATTGCACACACTGTGTAAAGAATGACTTTATACACTTCATTGCACACACTGTGTAAAGAATGCTTATACACAGGACAGCTTACGCAGGACAGCAACATGATTTGGTCACTGTCTAAACAACATGTGCAAGACAAGGTGACTCATGCTATCTGAGAGCAGTGGTGCTGTCACACTATAGGTGACACAGCTCAAGTCCCATATCTGCCTTGAAACATTGCTTCCTACATTCCTGGTACTTGCTGTGACTTATAATCTGTCCTGCCCTGGGTGGCCAGTGGTGCTTAATGCTATGAACATGGCATCTTAGGCTGCACAGGCAGGTTCAGATTCTGCCTCTTATATTTGTTTTCTGTGTGAGTGAGGGATAGATATGTAAACCTCTTCAGCCCTTTGTTGTGGTATGAAAAGGTGTAATAATTTAGCTCAAGAGGATTTAAATCAATTAATGCTGTTAGAGACCTTCATAACTTGCATAGCATTTAGTATGCTTTGAAAAGTTACCTTTATTAATAAGATATGTCAAGTGTCTGTCATGTTTCTTATGAGATTGACCTTTGCCTGCATTATGTCTTACATGTTTTATTTTTTGTAATTTTTTTCATATCAACATTTTCTCTGATGCTACATAATAAAATGTTAAAGCACATAGCTTTCATTATACATATATTTTTTTTTGGCCATAGCACTGGAAAACTAGATGACATTTCCTAGTCAGGGAGTTTCTCTGTATACTGCTGTCATATAATTGCAGGCGTGAAATTATTTCAGACTCCCCTCCTAATTCTTCATCTTTATAATAATGTGCATTTACCTGAAGCTGATATTTCAAAATTTAGTGATTCTCAACATATTATTTTTCCTGTTGTGTGTTCCTTCTGTTTTTTCTGTAGGTCATAAGCAATAATTCTTTAGAATTTCACTGACAATTGTGTGTAATTGTGGTTATTAACTTGCCTGTTAGATTTTCACAGGTTACTAAAAAGTGTTTTGTTTTTTGTTTGTTTGTTTTTTTTGAGACAGAGTCTTGCTCTGTTGCCCAGGCTGGAGTGCAGTGGCGTGCTCTTGGCTCATTGCAAGCTCCACCTCCCGGGTTCATGCCATTCTCCCGCCTCAGCGTCCCAAGTAGCTGGGACTACAGGCGCCCGCCACCACGCCCGGCTAAGTTTTTGTATTTTTTTAGTAGAGACGGGGTTTCATCGTGTTAGCCAGGATGGTCTCGATCTCCTGACCTCGTGATCTGCCTGTCTTGGCCTCCCAAAGTGCTGGGATTACAGGCGTGAGACACTGTGCCTGGCCTTTATTTGTTTTTATGATGATTTACAGATGATGGTTTTTCAGTATATATTATGCAATATAACCACCATGCACAAATTTTGTTAATGCTACAAAATGCACATTCTACATGGGTATGGTAGTTTTATAACAAGTATTCATATTTGCAATTTGTAAATATTCAAAATTTTATTAAATTCTTCCTAATTTTTCCTTGCAGTGTTTTTTTTTGCAATTATGAATTGCCATTTTTAAATATTTTTATTAGATAAGTTTGAGCTGTGCCTTACCTTTTATTTGTGTGTAATAATTATGTACTAAATAATGCATGACTATTTATTTATCTTCTAATATGAGACTACAATATAGCTATGCCAGTTTACGTGTTCCTTGGAGTGGTGGTGGAAAAATACCTCTTCTCTCAGGGTTTATGTGGATTTACATAGTATGAGTGTTTCAGCTATAGGGTATTTTAAACTGTGCTTAAAGTAATTTGTTGCATGTTTTGTTACTGAGGACAGCTAGTCCCTTTGTGTTCTTAAACGTTTAAAGACGATTGAGAAGCTTCGTAACTCTGTTCATTGTAAATCTTAGTTTTCTTGTAATATTATGTATTTTAATAAAATATTTACTTTGCACCTCTATTTGATGGAAAGCCTGTGGATTTTTATATCTTTCAGATATTTCTGTTGGATTTACAAGCAAAGGATTATCACCAAAGGAAAACAATAAAGAGGAATTATACCATCTGGTGATATTAGAAAGAAAGGAAAGCTGTGGCATCAACAATTTTGACCTCAAGGAAGTCTGGGAAAATATGCCTAAGTTTGACAGCCTGTGGGACTATGATGCAAAAAATTACAAAGGAATGCCTTTGACCTCTAACAAAAATCTCACTCACAGGAAAGATCAACAACATAATAAATCCTCAATACATTTCTCTTTAAAGCAGAGTGTTTTTATAAGAGATAGTGCATACCAATATTTCATACATGACACGCCATTTATAAGGAATTTGTTTAAACTGAAAAATAACATAAGGTATGCTGGAAACAAATACGTGAAATGTTTTGAAAATAGAATTGGATTAAGCTTACAGGCACAGCTGACTGAACGACAGAGATTTCAAAGTGGGGAGAAAATGTATGAATATAATCCAGTTGAGAAGTCTATCAATAGTTCCTCAGTTTCACCACTTCCTCCTTGTGTCAAAAACATTTGTAATAAATACAGGAAGATTTTGAAATACCCTTTGTTACATACACAGTATGGGAGAACACACAGAGAAAAATCATACAAATGTAATGACTGTGGAAAGGCTTTTAGCAAAAGTTCGAACCTTACTAATCATCAGAGAATTCATTCTGGACAGAGACCTTACAAATGTAAGGAGTGTGGCAAAGCCTTTAACCAGTGTTCAAACCTCACTAGGCATCAGAGAGTCCATACAGGAGAGAAACCGTATCAATGTAATATATGTGGCAAGGTGTGTAGTCAAAATTCAAATCTTGCAAGTCATCAGAGAATGCATACTGGAGAGAAACCTTACAAATGTAATGAATGTGGTAAGGCATTTATCCAGCGTTCACACCTTTGGGGTCATGAAAGAATTCATACTGGAGAGAAGCCTTACAAATGTAGTGAATGTGACAAAGCCTTTGCCGAGCGTTCAAGCCTTACCCAACATAAGAGAATCCATACTGGAGAGAAGCCTTACATATGTAATGAGTGTGGCAAAGCTTTTAAGCAGTGCTCACATCTCACTAGACATCAGAATATACATCCTGGAGAGAAACCACACAAATGTCATGTGTGTGGCAAGGCTTTTATCCAAAGTTCAAGTCTTGTGGAACATCAGAGAATTCACACTGGAGAAAAACCTTACAAATGTAATAAATGTGATAAAGCTTTTATCAAACGTTCACACCTTTGGGGTCATCAGAGAACTCATACTGGAGAGAAACCTTACAAATGTACTGAATGCGGCAAAGCCTTTACTGAACGTTCAAATCTTACTCAGCATAAGAAAATCCATACTGGAGAGAAACCTTACAAATGTACTGAATGTGGCAAAGCTTTTACCCAATTTGCAAACCTTACTAGACATCAGAAAATACACATTGAAAAGAAACATTGTAAACATAATATACATGGTAATGCTTTATTCCAAAGTTCAAACCTTGGGGATTATCAAAAAATTTATAATACGGAAAAATGTATCAAATATAATGAGATAAAAATTAAATAAGTATTCAAGCTGTACTTAGCATCAGGGGTTCCACTGTGAAAAGAAACCATATAAAATGAAAATGTGGTAAAGCCTTTAGCTATGGCTTGTACCTTACTTGATACCAGAATATACATCTTTGAGATAAACCACACAAAGATAACGTGTATGGCAAGGCTTATCCAAAGTTCAACCTTGTGGAACTCACAGAATTCTTACTGTGGAGACGCCTTACAAATATAATGAATGTGAACAGCTTTATAAAAATATTTACCCTATTATGGATAGAACAGAATACATTCAGGATGGAAACCATACAAATGTGGCAAGTCCTTTAAGCAATGTTCTGACTTCAGGATACACCATTCATTTTGGAGAGAAACATTACAAATGAAGGTGATAAATTATTTTAAATTTCTCAATGGAAATTCATCCTTATACGAAAGCATTTTGTCATACAAAAATTCAGGATAGAGGGAACTAAGTCTTTATTCCTTCTTGAAGATTGATTGATGTTAAATTCACAATTTTAAAAAGTCACAAACTCATAAGATGTTGTGTGTCAGAGGAGCAAGGACATCTGTGTAAAGATGTAACTCTTCAGTGTTAATTTTTTATTCAGTTATTTCATATTGTTAAAAGTATTGATGAATTACACCTTGAAATTTGAAATATGTTGATGTTAAATCTTCATGGCATGCTTTTCATTTATCATGTTCGTCTCAAGGAATGGATGTAAGATGGAAGGGACTACTTCCAAAGGTGTGGCTTATATATATTATTGAAACCAGGAAAAAGCAAGAACACTAATTTTTTTTTTTTTTTTTTTTGAGACAGAGTCTTGCTGTGTTGCCCAGGCTGGAGTGCAGTGGCACGATCTCAGCTCACTGCAACTTCTGCCTCCTGGGTTCAAGTGATTCTCCTGCCTCAGCCTCACGAGTAGCTGGGATTACAGGCATGTGCCATAATGCCTGGCTAGTTTTTTTTTGTTTTATTTTCTTTTTATTTTTAGTAGGCATGGGGTTTCGCCATGTTGGTCAGGCTGATCTTGAATTCCTGACCTCAGGTGATCCATCCGCCTTGGCTCCCAAAGTGCTGGGATTACAGGCGTGAGCCACTGTGCCCAGCCAAGAACACTAATATACAATATCCTATAAGAGCATGGGGGTTTGTGACAGAAGAGAGGTAAAACTATTGTCTAACATATGCTTTATGTGGTCAGGACCCCTTAGAATTGTTGATATGACTGGGGACCTTTGTGAATTATAGGCAAGATAGGTTACACTACAAGATGACCATGAAACAAGAAGAGTAGGATGGGACATTGAGAGATTTCATGGAAGTAAAATGGTCAGTTACTAGAGACTGCATATGTGGTAGAAAGAAATGGAGGGGGAATGATGATCACCTCTCTTTTGAAAGGTAGTAACTGTTGCATATCACAGATTATTGAACATAGGTCTTAGTTTTGGAAACTGAAGAGAGAATGGTTACCATAGAGGACAGTTCATCAAAAGAACCAGAGTAGAGTGTTCTTATAAGGGATTCACATTTGGCCCCTGAGATTGCATTTGATACTCTTTTATTTAGAATATATTATACTTCTCATGTCTTAGTAAAATATAATTATTTTTTAGTAACGCTGAATTAATCATGTGCCTTCTGTCAACCCAAGCATATCCCACCTCATTGGGACACTTAAACACTATAATACATCATTAGACTCTCAAGGTTGAATGTCATCTGTAACAATTTCTATCCATGTTATGTTCAAACAGTATACAATTTGAGAAATATATATTCATAATTTGCACTTGAAATATTTTCTCCACACTCTGCCCCAGATGTCTTCTATGGCTATAATGCAAATGCCATGCCATAGTGGTACAATATCAGACCCCCTGAAACCTGCCTTCCCATTCATGAATGTGCACTGTGCGATCATATTTCTACATGCCTTTTTTCTACATAACTTTCTGCATGCCTTTGCAAGAATGGCTTGTACCTTCTTTTACATGAGAGGAAAATACAAATGTAAGCATATGAAAATTATTAGTAAATAAAATTTCTGAAATAATAGCACAACTTCTTTTTTTGTACTTGGAGCACTCCATGAAATAACTTGAAAAAAATCAGTGTTCGTGACTTCCCTCTTAATAATGAACATAGACAATGGAATTTTTTTTTAAAAAAAACTAGAAACCTCATGTATTTAACATTTTTTTTTTTTTTACTGATTTGCAGTTGTTGCCACTCCACTAGAACAGGAGGGAACCCCATGCAAAGTTTGGTTTAGATTTCAGGATCGGTGCTTCTCTACATCAAAGTATTATAAGAATGTTTATTACAAAAGAGTTTCTAGAGAGAACGGGGTAGACTTCCCAAGCTGGTTCAAAAATGGCTAGAGAAGGCAGTGAAAGATGACTGACTTGGGGTCTTATGATGTTTATCTGGTGGGGCTGGAGTGAGTGCTCATCTGTGGTTTAAATATCCCGCTAACCAGCTGGGCATGGAGGCTGACATCTGTAATGTCAGCACTTTGAGAGGCCCAGGCAAGAGGCTTGCTTGAGCCCAGGAATTTGAGACTAGCATAGGCAACATGGCAAGACCCTGTCTCTACAAAATTTAAAAATTAGTTGGGCATGATGGCACATTTCTATAGTCCCAGCTACTCAGGAGGCTGAAGCAGGAGAATTCATTGAGCTCAGGAGTTGGAGGTTACAGTGAGCTAGGATCATGCCACTGCACTCCAGCCTAGGTGACAGAGCAAAGCCCTGTCCAAAAAAAAAAAAAAAAAAAAAAAAATCAATTTCTAGGCCAGGCACAGTGGCTCATGTTTGTGATTCTAACACTTTGGAAGGCCAAGATGGGCAGATTGCTTAAACCCAGGAATTCGAAACCAGCCTGGGCAAACTTTGTCTCTATAAAAAATATCCCCCACCCAAAATTAACATTTGTTAGTACCTCATAACTTCATTCATTCATTCATTCGTTTATTTATTTATTTATTTGAGACAGAGTCTAACTCTGGTGCCCATTCTGGAGTGCAGTGGCGCAATCTCAGCTCACTGCAACCTCCACCTCCCAGGCTCAAGCGATTCTCCTGCCTCATCCTCTCGAGTAGCTGGGACTACAGGCTTGCACCACCATGCCTGGCTAATTTTTGTATTTTTAATAGACACAAGGTTTCACCATATTGGCCAGGCTGATCTTGAATTCCTGACCTCAAGTGATCTGCCTGCCTAGGCCTCCCAAAGTGCTGGGATTACAGGTGTGAGCCACCATACCCAGCCTAGTACCTCATCACTTTGTGTTGCTGAATAATATTCTACAGTTTGTCTATCCATTCATTGTTTGATGGAGATTTGAACTCTTTCTACTTTTTGAAATTAGGCTATTATGGGCCAGGTGCAGTGGCTCATGCCTGTAATCCCAGCACTTTGGGAGGCCGAGATGGGCAGATCACGAGGTCAGGAGATCGAGACTGTCCTCGCTAACACGGTGAAACCCCGTCTCTACTAAAAATACAAAATATTAGCCGGCCTGGTGGCGGGCGCCTGTAGTCCCAGCTACTCGGGAGGCTGAGGCAGGAGAATGGCGTGAACCCGGGAGGCGGAGCTTGCAGTGAGTCGAGATCGTGCCACTGCACTCCAGCCTGGGTGACACAACGAGACTCCATCTCAAAAAAAAAAAGAAAGAAAGAAATTAGGCTATTATGGAAAATGCTGCTATGAACAACTTTCTACAAAATGTTTTTGCAGATACATGGTTTCACTTCTCTTGGGTATGTTTGTAAACATGAAATTTCTGGGTCATATGGTAATTATCGGTGATTATCTTTTTGTGGATCTGCCAAACTGTTTTTGAATGCACCTACACCATTTTAGTTTTCTATCAGCAGTGTTCCAGTGTTCCGTTTTCTGCACTTCCTATCAATTATTGATGTTTGTAGTTGTTTGGTTAGCAGTAGTAATAGTATATACCCTTCTAGTCACTTACAAGTGATATTTCACTGTGGTTGGATTTTCTTAATGATGAATGTTGAGTATCTGTTCATATGCTTATTAGCTATGTGTATCTTCATTGGAGAAATGTCTACTCAAAAATTTCTTTTAATATTTTAAAAATCAGATTGTGTTTGTGGTTGAGTTGTAAGAGTTATTTTATATTCTGAATACTACACCCTTATGACATATATAATTTGCAAATACTTTTTCCACTTCTGTGAACTGTTTTTCCACTTTCTTAATAGCATTCTTAATTTCGGCGAAGTTGGCAAGGTTCTTTGGCTCATACCTGTAGTCTCAGCACTTTGGGAGGCCCAGGAAGGAGGATCACCCGTGTTCAGGAGTTCGAGACCAGCCTGGGCAACATAGTGAGACCTACCAAAAAATAAAAAATTAGCTGGGTGTCATGGCATGCACCTGTAGTCCCAGCTACTTGGGAGGTTGAGGGGAAAGGATGGTTTGAGCTAGGGAGGTTGAGGCTGCAGTGAGCCATGACTGACACTGCACTCAGTCTGAGTGACAGAGTGAGACTCAGGACCAATACAGTAATGCAGGTTGTGATGAATAAACTTTGAAAACATGGAATTAGCTTTATTCTGGATGATTGTATCAGTCTATGTTTAGAAAAATGTATACAATTATTTCAAGAATAAGAATAGTTATATAAGTTAAGAATATTGGGGTGCTTGAGCAGTGAAATGTGTGGAAGACTCCAGTAGGAATATCAAAGAAAAATAGTCACTGGCAGCTTCAGTGAGAAACCATGGCTCATGGAGATGTCTTAGAAGTTACTGCTTCTGGCTGCTTGATTGGAATTAGAGATGGTGAAGTCTGTGCAGTATTCATCTGAGATTAATGGCTTAGTGCTTCACTTCTGCCTTTCCTATTCCATTCAGGTTTTCCTTTTTTTAAAAAACAGCATTTTAAATTTTTTTAATTTTTAATTTATTTATATTTCTTTGTTTTGAGACTGGGTTAAGAGATGGGCTAATTTTTGTATTTTTGGTAGAGACAGGTTTTCGCCATGTTGCCCAGTCTGGTTTTGAACTCCTGAACTCAAGCAATCCACCCACCTTAGCCTCCCATAGTGCTGGGATTACAGCTGTGAGCCACTGTGCCCATCCCATGCAGGTTTTTCTCATTGGCAAAGTTTAGCAAGAACCATACAGGAAAAGCCTTCTGGAAAACAGTTCTGAGCACCAGATTGCAGTGGTGGTAGTGTTAAGTGGACAAAGGATCTTGCAGTATAGAAAAGTAGCTGAGACATATTGACCTCAAAACTAGAGATGGTTTTAGAAACTTTGAGAGGGAATGCAAATGGTGCCTCATGTCTTTGTTCAGTGATTTTGGGTAGCTGCGGTATTACTCTTTTAGAAAATGGTGACTCGGTGCTGTGTTTGAATGTATTCCCCAAAAGTTCACGTTGGAAATTTAATCCTCAAATCCATATGTTGATGGTATTCAGAGGTGGGAGCCTTTGGGAGGTAATTAGGGATAGATGAAGTTATGGGGGCGGGTCCCTATGTTGGGATTAGCCTTAGAAGAAGAGGAAAGGAGAGCTGAGCTGGCATGTTTCCTCTCTCTCACCATGTGATGACTTCTGTTATGATGCAGCAAGAAAGCCCTCACCACATGTGGCCCCTCCGCCTTGGACTTCCCAGCCTCCAGAACTGGAAGAAATAAATTATATACGTAAACATACATAAATTATATACATACATATAAATTACCCAGGTCAGGTTTTCTGTTACAGCAACAAAAAATGGACTAAGACACAGGATAGGCTGAGGTTTGGGGGAGGTATTGTGAATATCTAAAAAAATTGGCAGTGGAAATGTGACACAGTGATTTATAGCAATTGATGAGCATCACTGAGGAGGAAATGATATAGAAAGACAGATTGTATTGTCCTTTCCTTGCACTTCAGGCCTAGATCGCTAACAGTTTATCAAGAAAGAGGGTATTGCTAAAGCTGTCTAGGCTTTGCTTTTAAAAATCTTGTAAGGAATGGCATGTCCTGTCGTGCCTGGAGACACAAAACCATTTTTTGTTAAATCCCAGAAGCTTACTGTATAAAATGAGTCTTTTCTGTCAATTGCACCACTGGGATAGTTGACCCTGTAGGGCAACTGATGCTTATATAGTAACTCAGAGATGGAGGTGCTTCCGTATTATGGTTTCTGCATCTCAAAAATGGGCCTCTGATTATTGCAAAGGAAACGAGCAAGAAGGTCACACTTAGTTTTAAGTGGTTTGGCCTGAAAGTGATACATTACACTTATACCCTGTTTGACAAAACTGGTCTCATGGTTTTAACTTGAGGCAAGGCGGCTGAGAAATTAGGGGAATGTTGGCTATGTATGTGAAGCTGTTAAGAGTGAGGAAAGTTAGGGCTGGGCGCAGTGGCTCATGCCTGTAATCCCAGCACTTTGGGAGGCAGAGGCGGGCAGATCACGAGGTCAGGAGTTCAAGACCAACCTGACCAACATGATGAAACCCCGTCTCTACTAAAAACACAAAAATTAGCCGGGCATGGTGGCATGCTCTTGTAATCCCAGCTACTCCAGAGGCTGAGGCAGGAGAATCGCTTGAACCCAGGAGTCAGAGGTTGCAGTGAACTGAGATCGCGCCACTGCACTC